AAATAATATAATACAAGCCATTTCTATCATAAAATCATTCTAATCGTGAAAACATTAGAGTCATATTATCATATGAGCAATCTCTCCCAAGTCCAGCCATGCATTGATTGTAAATGTTAAAGTGAGTAATTGTTTTTGAGATGGTCAGAGATTGCTAGCTGTAAAGGAATATAACAACTTTTTTATCTTGCCATCCATGTTAAGTGATGTCTGAGACAGATGGACTATGAACAAAACCTAGAGGTGGTTTACTGGGGCAAAGGCAAAGAGTAACTTTAAAAATTGAAAATAGGAATATATAAATCAGTGTATCTGATAGCCTGTTAGAATAACAAAGAGAGAACTGTAGCACAAAAGACTCTTAATTTAGCAATCTCATCAGCCAGTTCCCCACTCAGAAAATTTTATTCTGGTGCCAGGGTCATTTTCCTGAATCCTGGAATATAGAATAATAGGGCTGGAAGAGATCTTAGGGTCTTCTAATCCAGGGGTCCCCAACCACCGGTCCGCGGAACAAGTCCTACCGGGCCGCTGGTTGCTGGGCGCCGCCATCTTTTTTTGATGAAAAAGTGCTTCTGGTGAGCTTTTCCAGGTAGAAAGCTCACCGGAAGCACTTTTTCATCAAAAAAAGATGACGGCGCCCAGCTGATGCCGGTACCGGGCCGCGGCGCCCAGCTGATGCCGGTACCGGGCCGCGGCATAAAAAAGGTTGGGGATCACTGTTCTAATCCAACTTTCTGCTCACTGCAGGAGATTCCCGAGCCTTGTGGTACAGTGGTTAGAATGCAGTATTGCAGGTTGACTCTGCTCACTGTCAGGAATTCAATCCTGACCGACTCAAGGTTGACTCAGCCTTCCATCCTTCTGAAGTCGGTAAAATGCTGGGGGCGGTATACTGACTCTGTAAATCGTTTAAAGAGGGCTGTAAAGCACTGTGAAGTGGTATATAAGTCCAAGTGTTATTGCTAGTGCTATCCTATACCATTCCAGACAAATGGATGTCCAATTTCTTCTCGAAAGCCTCCAGTGTTGGAGCACCCACAATTTCTGGAGGCAAGCAGTTCCGCTAATCAATTGTTCTTGCTGTCAGGAGATTTATCCTTAGTTCTAGGTTGGATCCTTTCAGGGGTGGGCTTCAAAAATTCTAGCAAAGGGTCCTCTGCCTGGTTGCTGGGTGGGCGTGGCCATGGTTGGCATGGCCTAGTCGGCTTCCTACATCATGTCACGGAGGGGGCTGTTTTTGGCCTCCCTGCCCCGGGCTCTGGAGGCTTTCCTCAAGCCTCAGGGAGGACGAAAACAGCCTCCTCGGGCTCTGGAGGCTCTCTGGAAGCTGGAAAAGAGACCCTTTCCGGCTTTCCCAAACTTCCAAGAGGCCCATTTTTTGCCCTCCCCAAGCCTCCATGCGCAGCCTGCACTTACCTGCACCCAAAAGGGGCCACGTGGAGACTCCGGGGAGAGGAGGGGTGAGTGGGGCCAGCCAGGAGTGGGATTTGGGGCTTCTCTGAACTGCACAGAATCTTAGCTAGGGGCTCTCCTGAACCCCTGTGAACGCCCAGCAGCCCACCCCTGGATCCGTTTTTAAGACTGTATATTATTTTCTTGTTTTCTCTCCTCTAATGCTTGGTCAGCATCCGGTGCCCACCAGGGTTTTGACAATGTGAGGAATTCCTGACTCAGAAGGAGGAGGGTTGGGTTTTTCCCCTCCCAAAGATATTTTTGGACTTCTGTAGAATTTGGGTTTTCCCCAGTGCTGCCGATACTGAAGATCTGGATTTATAGTTAAGGAAAGATTTAGCAGCAGCATGTTTATCTAGAGATAAACTTGCTTAGCTGTTATCTCAGTTCATTCTTTTTCAGATAAGTAGACTGTGTGAATCCGGGTTATTGGCTTAGTTTATAATCCAGAGTATTTTGTCAGGACAGAAATTAATTAATCAGAAAGCAGGTTAAAGGCTATTGTGCAAATATTAAAAGAGTGCGTGAATACAGTAGTGTCTCAAGACTTTAGTACATATATTTGAAGACTACCAATAACACTAATACAGGTAGACCTGACTTAGCAACCACAATTTCAACCAATAACTCCCTTATTAAACACTATAGTTGCTAATGGAAAACCAGATGACTTATATTATGTCCTATTCAGTCATTAAGTGAAACATCATGTGACTGCGACTTGCAATTTTATTTCCATGTTCTACATTAACTACATTGGCCAGGTGCTGATTGGGAAGCACGTGAATAGTAATCATGAGACCATGGGATGCGGTGACAGTTGTAAAATCAAGGATTGGACACAAAGCTGTTTTTTTTTACACTATTGTAACTTCAAATGGTCACTAAATGAGGCAGTCAGTAAATGAGGACAACCTGAAATCATATGAGACCAGGGACTGCATGAAAACAGAGAAGTGATATTATACAATGCAACAGATATTTTCCCCGTAACAACACTTGAGGTGGTTGTGCTGAGAGAGAGAGGGACTGGCCCATTCACCCAGCCAGCTTTCATGCCTAAGGTGAAACTAGAATCCACCGTCTCCTGGTTTCACCACCAAAGTGGTTCTACATTAAGACATGATATAAAGCTATTATTTTCTTCCTCTCCTAATGAGAGCATCAGGGAGGGGGAGAGAATTTGGCAAATACACAGCATACATACAACGAAATTTCTGAATAGTCTGGAAAAGGTCCATAAATATTGAAGACTGTGCAGTAAAAGTTACCTTGGGGAGTACTCCCCTCCCTCCACCTGTGTGTGTGTGTGTGCGTGCATGTGTGCACACATAAAGTTTCTGAAGTTGCACTTGATGGAAGTTTCAACAAAACTGTCCTTGTTTTGGTTGTGGGTGCCTGTTGTGAGGTGCAGCTGAAAAGTTAAAAGACAGGTTCCAGTATTTTTATTTTCTCAAGTGCTATCGGCAAGTCAGATACTCCACACCCTGTATTTGGGATTTGATTTGTTTGATTTGTTTTCAAAATGAAAAACTTTGCATTTGTCTCTTAAATATCATGTTAAACCTGTTTTGTTTTGCATTTTAACTTTGGAAACTTTAAGACTCTTGGACTTCAACTCCCAGAAGTTCACCGGGGATTTCTGGGAATTGAAGTCCATATCTCTTAAAGTTGATGATGTTGGGAAACACTGCCCTAACATATCAAATTTAGTTTGAAGTATACTTGTCTTTTAATGTATTAGCGCCATGCAATTGCACATTATCTAATTTCCTCTATACCTTCATCCAAGTCATTAATAAAAATATTGAAGAGTAAGGAGCCCAACTGTATGCCAAATCCCTGAATATCTCACTTTTTCATGAACAAAGTATTTTAAAAGCAAGAGAAAACCCACATTTTTTATTTTGACCAATAAAGTTACTTTCAGTAATCTCCCTCCTAAGCATATCTTACAGTGTTTCTCTGAGAGGTTTTGGTAGGGCTACCAAATTCTGTAACAGCTTTTGTCTGATAAACTCGCAAGATTAATTTTTCTTGCCATGTACATGTATACAGCCGAACTAGACTATGTTGTTTCTCTGTGTCATATATGTGGGTATATGCATACTTATATATCTTGTCATGTTTATGTAGTGTGTATTGGAGGTGGTAACCCTTTGAGAACTGTATGCAGCGAAATTTCATTTTAATGTATGCCGATTTAGTGTATATTCAAAGTAACAGTAAAGTTTATTCTAACTTAATTATTCGAAATGGCCTCATGCCTTGATCTGAACTAAAGCACATCAACGAAAGTGTAGAATCCAGCCTCTTTTGTACACCCATGCCCTCAGAGAGGCGCAAAAATTAAACGTCACGCGGAACCAAGCCAGGTTTCCCCAGTAGAGCACCATTTTCTTTTCTCCCTTTCACCCAAGGCGGCAGCTTTCCGTACAATGACGTAATAGGAAGATGGCGCCGCCCAGGACATGCAGAGAGGAACACGCATGCGTGGGCGCGCGGTGCTTTGCCCGGGGTCCAGGAGGAAAGACTCCCGCTTTATAGGAGAATCTTTGACTGTGGGATTCACACGTGCGTCGAGAGAGGGTTGCTCCACCGGGCGGACAGGTGCGTGCTGGCTGACCCGGGAGCTTTATTCTTTAAGAAGAGACTTGGGGTCTTGTGGGGGGCCGGGGGTCTGGGATCCAGTTGCAGCTACATGCAACTTTCCCCAAAGGAGGTTAAAAAGGCAAAACGTGTGCATCTGCCCCAGGATACGTGTCGCAGGATAACGACGCCAAGAATGATCAAGGCAATTAAATGTTCCTTGCTTCCTTGTTTTAATGTTTTTTGCTCTTTTGATTTATGAGCCCTCCGGAGTCACGAAAGTGGAAAGAATGAAAAAAATAAATAAATAAAAATAAACAAGCAACAGTTCATGGGGGGAAACAGCTGCCCTGGTTCAGACGTTGCTCCAAATCGTGCTTATTCTCCACCTCCTCCTCCTCCTCCTCCAGGGAAACCGGGCGCTACAGCAAATGCAGGAGGAGTTTGAACCAAGATACGAGTTTTGGTGAAGTGGTGGGTTGTCGAGCAAGGGCCTAGTGGAGTTTTACTTCGTGGTGGGTTGAGTCTCAGAGAGGTGGGATTTAAAAGGGTATCAGGAAGGAGCCACAGTACATTCTATTGTCAGGATTCAAACAAGGGTCTAAGGCTGTAAACTAGAGTTTGTAAAGCATGCCCAACCCACTTCACAGAATAATGGGGAAAATAGGCACGTTTGCCTATTTGTGTTTTTTTCTTATATATGTTGTGTGTTGTGTGATTAAAATTAATTTAATAATAAAGCTGTCTGGCTTCACACCACAAAAAAGCCAACATATTTTGGCTCAGCATGCATGGCATTTTAACCTAGCCACACTTATGAATCACCTTTTAGTCTCCAACAAGCTGCTGTTTCTCATCTGAAGGCTAAGCTAGTCATTTTCCATGGTTGCCTCTTTTCTTTATAAAAAAGTGATCTGAGTGTCACTATTTGCTTTCGGATTGTATTTCACCACAGCAATGTTATTAAATCTGTGGTTCTACACCCCATTAAAAAAAAAAACCACCACAACCAAATGTTCATTCAACTTCTAATTGATGTTGGATTCCTGATTGACTATTAGACAATAGGAGATGTAGGCGCAAAAATAATAAAAGGAGAAAGACATATCATCTATGTTTCCTTTGGGTAAATCCTTTTTGTTTGCAAAGGCAATATTGCAGCTTTGTATTTTATTAAGTTAGCTTTCTCTGTATTGGAACTATAGATCCCATATTGCTTGGAAATTTTGGGAGCTAAAATTGTAACAGGACAGAAAGGTATCACATAGGAGAACCAGGACTAGATTTTTAAATATTTTGTGTTCTTTGCTATTGTAGGGAACTTCATAGAATGGAGGCCCCACCTGTTAGTATGATGCCAGTCACTGGCGGTACCATAAACATGATGGAACACCTGCTTCAAGGTGAGTTATAGGCAACGATTTGCTTAACTCTTATATCTGATTAATTTTAAAGTATATGTCAGTCCCTTAAAAGAATATAAAGTTGTTTAATCATTCAAGTACGCTCCTTTTATAACTGCACTACTAAAATATATAGAAAGAAATATTACCTAGGTTTTGAGCTGGCAACCCATAGGGCTGCTAGACACATTACACATTTAAAAATACAGGTTACTCTACAGTATATACTCAATTGTGAACTATCCTTGACTGTCTGAATATAAATAGTCCTCGAATTACAACAGCTTGATTAGTGAACATTCAAAGTTACAACAGCACTGAAAAAAGTGACTTATGACGGCTTTTCACACTTGTGATCATGTGTGTTAAGGCAGTGATTCCCTTAACAAATGTGGCAAGAGAAGTTGTAAAATGGGTCAAAACTCACTTAACAAATTTCTCACTCAGCAACATAAATCCTGGGCTCAGTTGTGATTGTAAGTCGAGGACTACCTGTACTTAATTTGACACCCAACAACGGCTTTACATTCAGATCTCATGAGTTTGCAATGTACAAAGTATAATTTATGACTAGGCTCCCTTGTTTAAAAAAGAACCATCATAGCTGTATCTTTTGTGGAGGGTTGTGCCTTTTTCTACCCAGTACAGTTTCTAGAGAGATCCTGGTGCTATTTGTGGTCCTACACAGTTTTTAGAAAATGGCAGATTAGTGAACAAGAAGAAACTTTGTGTTGTGGCCTGTCGGCTGCCGGCCCCTCCAGCAGCCGAATCAGAGGAGATGGCGTGGGAGTCAGTGTCAGTATCAGGGCAAACTGGGAGCCCCAAGGTGGAAGAGGGAATGGAACTGGGAGAGAGAGAGAAAGAGAGAGAGAGAGAGAGAGAGAGGCGGAGTCTGGGCTGTCCGTCAGCCCTCAATTGGAGAGTCAACAGCCCCCAGGTCTGGAGGTGGCTGATGAGGAAGAGAAGGAACAGCTGGGTCCAGTGCCTGACGTGTGGATGCGCAGAAGGCAGAGGAGAGGAGAGCAGTGGAAATCCGTGGGCTGATCCTTGGGAAGGAAAAGCCACTGCTGCTAGTGAGGCCCCATCCTAGTTCTGGAGATAAAAGGCAGGGGGCAGAGATGAATAGATGTGGCAGACAACTATTCCTCTTCCAGCCAGCCGGACTTGTTCGCCTGCGAGAGAAACTGTTTGCTGGGGGCTGCCGACATGCCTAATAAAGGAATATTTTGAGTTGAAGTCATAGGGTTTGTCGTGTCTGGGGAGCTGGGTCAGAACACTTTGCCCCCGTGTCAGTAAAGACAAATGAGCAATTCCGTGTTGCCTTTTCTCCAGGTAGCGTTTTGGATCAAAGCTTGGAGAGTCTTCTTCACCGACTCCGTGGCCTTTGTGACAACATGGAGCCCGAGACTTTTGTCGATCACGAGATGGTCTTCCTTCTCAAAGGCCAGCAGGCCAGCCCGTTTGTCCTTCGCACGCGACGCTCCATGGACAAACCTGGTGCTCCTTGGCACTTGCGGTATCTTGGACAGCCGGAAATGGGAGACAAAAACCGCCATGCCTTGGTGCGGAATTGTGTGGACATTGCCACCTCGGACAACCTGACAGACTTCCTGGTCGAAATGGGCTTCCGCATGGACCATGAGTTTGTAGCCAAGGGGCATGTGTTCCGCAAAGGCATTATGAAGATTGTGGTGTACAAGATCTTCCGCATCCTCCTCCCAGGAAACACCGATAACATTGAGCCTCTGTCTCTCTCCTACCTTGTGGAGCTCAGCATTGTGGCACCGGCGGGGCAAGACATGGTTTCTGACGACATGAGGAGTTTTGCTGAGCAGCTAAAGCCCCTTGTCCATTTGGAGAAAATAGATCCTAAAAGACTGATGTGAGATCAGGGGTGGGATTCTACCGGTTTGGACCGGTCCAAGGCAAACCGGATCTTAAATTTGCATCTGGTTCGCCGAACCGGTATTTGAAATGACCGGCTGGCCACGCTCACCCGCCCCTCCCAGGAGTCTCCACACGGCCCATTTTCAATGCAGGTAAGTGCAGGGTCCATGTGGAGGCTCTGGGAGGAGGGAAAAACAGGCCTGGAAGTCCGGAAACGGGCCTGTTTCCGGCTTCCGGAGGGTCTCCAGAGCCCGGGGAGGCCATTTTTAGCCTCCCAGAGGCCCGGTAGAAGCCTCTGGACCCTTGGAAAGGTGAAAATGACCCTCCCGGAAGTTCTGGTAGGCCACGCCCACCATGGCCACGCCCACCTAGCAACTGGGTAGCGAACCGGTTGCTGGGATTTTTGAATCCCACCCCTGTGTGAGATGGATTGCAACCGCAGCGGGATCATTCCTCTTATAAAGGTGGAAGGTTTTCAGAAATACGTATATGCCTCATGTTCTTCTAAAGAAAAATACATTAAGAGATCCAGTTGCCTTACCCCAATATGACTGTAGGTTATTTTCAAATGATTTAACAATAAAAAAGATCATTTTGCTGTTGGCTTCCTCTTTGGGCAATAGTAGTCAAATCTTCTTTGAGCCAGATTAATCTGAAATGGTTTTGAATTTAAAATTGGTTGTATTTGTTTGTTTTTAGGTCCACGGCAATTTTTGTGTGACCTAAAATAATACATATTCATTCTTTTTGAAGAATTTGCTAATGTGTATTCAAGTTAGGGAGACTTGTTTGAGTTTAGATTGATTCCTATGGATCTTTCATCCACAGGGAATAGCAATAGCAACAGCACTTAGACTTATATACCACTTCACAGTGCTTTACAGCCCACTCTAAGCAGTTAGAGTCAGCCTATTGCCCCCAACAATCTAGGTCCTCATTTTACCGACCTCAGAAGGATGGAAAGCTGAGTCAGCCTTGAGCCAATCAGGATCGAACTGCTGGCAGTGGGCAGAATTAGCCTGCAATACTGCCTTCTAACTGGTGAGATTCGAACTGCCAAATTGCAGGCAGATGGCAGTCAGCAGAAGTAGCCTGCAGTACTGCACTCTAACCACTGCGCCACCACGGCTCTTCTAATAGGCACAGGTAGAAAGTATTAACTATTTCAATAATAGATTGACTTCGATGATCCTATTCAGAATATTTTCCATCATCTAAGAGGAATTGTAGTTCTGTAGTTTAACAGACATGTATAAAATAGCAATGGGTAGAGTGGTGGCCCTTGACTTATGACCATTCATTTAATGACCATTCAAAGTTACTATAGCACTGAAAAAAGAAATGTGCAACCAGTCATCATGCAACCATTGCGGCATCCTCTTAGTCACGTGATCATCAGCTCGCATTTAAAAAGGTGGCAACATCCCAAGGTCACCTGATCACGTTTTCCAGCCTTCCCAGCCATCTTCTGACAAGCAAAGTGTCAACATCCAAGACAGCCACATGGTGGTTATGCCCCCGTGTGCCATTTTGGAGTTGCCACAGTGAGGAAGTGGAAGGGCGTCGCATGGGGTGCACTACTGCATTTAGGCTGCTGGGTGTTGTGACGGGTGCATGGAGGGGGGTGGGCGCAACAGACTTGGAGGGGCCTCGGAAGAATGAAGCAGTAGCGGCAGGCAAGTCTTTGCTGGAACAGGCCTAGAGCGAACCATGGGGCTTGCCAAACCCTCATGGCAGGCAGAAGCCAGTAATGCTGGCTAGAGTCCCATTTTATTGCGTGCCGAGTCAAGAGACCAGCAAAGGGGAATTGCTGTACCAATGGTGTGGCCTCGTTTCTTACTGGCTAGGCTCCGGAACTGTGACAGGTAGCCAGCATTACCGTGACACAAAATTAATGGGGAAGCTGGCAAGGAAGTCGCAAATTAAGTGAGATACCTGATGTCTCATTTAACAATTGAGGCAAGAAAGGTAAATCAGGCGGGGGGGGGGTTCACTTAACTACATTACATCAGGACGGATTGTCAGGTCCCACTTGTGGTCAAGGACTACCCAAATAACATGCTGTCATGCCGCTGTCGGAGTCTGAATCTGAGGAGGAAGACGAACAGCTGACAGGGAGTGGGAGTGTGGCTCCGTTGGCTGTGGAAGAACCTGGGAAAGGGCAAAGTCCGCCTGGGCAGAGCAGGAGAGAGGTAGAACAAGGGAGAGGGAGTTCAGAGCAAGAACCAGGCCCACCTCATCTTCATCTTAGAGCTCGCAGGGAGGAACAGAGAAGAGAGCAATGTGGGTTGCATGGCTTACAGGGGAGGAAAGGGCTCCGATTCCCTTCATTAGCCACAGCTGGGAAGAGAGTTTAAAAGAGATGCACGCTGAGTGTGGCAGCTGCTGGGAGCAAACGTGTTTATCTTGTGTTGACTTTAGTTATCTGTGTTCCTGGTGTCTTCCCAACTGTGTTGAATTACTGCTGTTCCTTCACATCTGGAATTCCTTCTTTTGCCCTGCCGGACTAATTACCTCATCTTGCCTTGATTGGACTTATAGTTACAGTTTTTGTTGACCACATTTTGGACTTGATTTTCTATAGCCAAAGGCTGTTCATGGAAGAGTTTTTCTCCAGGACATTGGGGGCAAAGTTGGAGCTAATAAAGGGACTCCTAATGATTATCTGACTGTGTTGCCTTTGTGCCACAAAGGGTCATCACAGATACTTCTATATTAAAAGCATCATTACACAGAGTGAAGTGATCCTGGCTTCAACAATGAAATAATTAACGGTAGTCCTCAACTTATGACCAACATTTGAGCCCAACATTTCTGTTGCTGAGCGAGACATATGTGAAGGGAGTTTTGTCCCGTTTTACAAACTTTGTTGCCACAGTTGTTAAGGGAATTGCTACGGTTGTTAAATTAGCAACACGGTTGTTAAGTGAATAAGGTTTTCCCATTGACTTTGCTAGTCAGAAGGTCGCAAAAGGGGATCATGTGACCCCAGGACTCTGCAACGATAATAAATTATGAGTCCGTTGACCAGTGCCTGAATTTTGATCACATGACGATGGGGATGCTGCAACGGTCGTAAGTGTGAGAAATGGTCCTAAGTGACTTTTCAGTTACGTTATAACTTTGAACAGTCGCTAAATGAACAGTCGCTAAATGAACTTGCAAGTCGAAGGACTACCTGTAATTAATTAACTTATTGACTCAGATTAAAATCCATCCAGCATGGGTCCCTGAAATAGGTTTCTCTGAATTCTTGCCTATATAGGATATATATAGGATTTCCCAGTGGAAATCTATCTGCCCGGTCTTCACCTCAGTTTGGGAACTGGTTCAGAAAAGCTGCTCAGAATTGTTGGATACAAGATGGGCGGCAAATAAATGTCAAAATAAATAAAAGAATTTGCTCAACCAACAGGGGCTAGCTTCATTGGAAAAAGCTTTCCGAAAAGAGATTTTCACGGTGGTTTTCCTAGCCTCAATAAGTACAGATTGAAGTGCTGGTGAAAATTTAGCTGCCACTTCAGTCCCGGCGAATCTGTAACCTTTTCAGATTTGAATTAATCCTCTCATATGTCAGCAATAATTAACTTGCCCTCCCCCCTCCCCCCCCCGATTGCTGCAATATAATACCAAGCCACCTGGTCTATACGGTCCTGAGACAAGTGGGGTGGGATGAACGTTGCGCCAGGAAAAGCGTCGTCTTCTCAGCACGTGACTCATGCCAATCACGCATGGAGAGCCACTGACAGTTCCAATCCTTTTTATTGACCTGCACATTGTTGTGGGATGCGTAGAACATAAAGTGGTGTTGATGGAGCTCAAGCAGTTGCGTAGACATGTTTGAACGATACATCACCCCAGCCCTGCTTTATTCGAGGTGTCAGCCTGCTCTGCAGCACGGTAGCGCAAACAGGAACAGAATGTAACATAGCCTACAGCATTCTGTGTTCCTCTTTGGAGAATGCAGCTCTTCTTTTGTTATGTAATTGGCACAACACTCACCCTTCTGAGCTGCGGATATAATTGTTCCACTAAATAACTTCCATGGTATAGATGCAAATCATAAAGACGTGTCTAATAATAACTTAATGTAGTGGGTTGCGTGCATTTAATCACACCCATGTTTTTTTTCTAACCGTGATCCAGTATTACCATAATGTTTTTCAAGACTCTTTAAAAACAAAACAAAACAAAACAACGTATTGTGTCTTGTCTCTTGGGAAATTGTCAAGGGGTGAAGACCAGGAGCTGGGCCTCCTCTGCCCTCCAGAGTATTCTCCCTTCAGAGATTAGAGTGATAGCTTTTTGTAAGGCTGTGAAGACTTGGTTATGTGCTTGGACTGCCCAGGATCATTTGTTGAGATAGATGGCTATCCAAATAAATCTCTCTATATAAAAGCAAAATACCACTCACACATCATCACAAAATCTCCAGAACCATAAAGCCTACAAACTTGAAATTTGACACGTGTGTTCCTCTTGGCTTCTAGGTGCTCACTAAGAAAGGATTTTTTGAAATGGCCATCAGAGCATTAGTATTTCCGATATTATTATTATTATTATTAACAGGCTCTGATGCTAAGGAGTTCTACTCCCCCTCCCCACCTGAAAAGAAATTTCTTCCAAATGCAAAACACAAGCAGAGGAGAGGAGTTTCAGTTTTAGTTTCGTAGCACTAAGCAGCTTTAGTACAGGACAGTTGAACTAAGCCACACCCAGGTTCCTTGCTGTCTCCTTGCTCACACAGCAAATACTATTTCAGTTTCCAAACAGCCCTCAATACTCTCACACACTGACAGGATGCTAGCCACATGAATACCAATGGATGCTGGTAGGCAGAGGCAGAATTTCCCCCACCCCTTATTTTCCTCCCCAAAAACTGAGCACATAGTTTTGTAGCGAAGCACGGGTATAGAGCTAGTAAATATATTGCAGGACTCTGCACTGCAAAGAAAATGTACCAAAGTGTAGAAGACTGATAAAGTTGCATTTGATTTCA